AATTAATGTATTATGTTCCCATAGACTACTGGCCCCTACAGGTCCCAGCTAGACAGTAGCCTTCAAGGTTAATAGATAAAAAACCAGACCTAACACTAAAACTTATTATTTCAGCTAGACAGTTACCTAAGACAGTGGATAGCCTCCAGTGCATCCCTATCAGTTAAAGCCTAAGCAAGAAAAGACTTTTCTTATTCTCATGGCCTTCACAGCAGGGGCTGGCTGCTACTCAGCTATCAGAACTTTTTCTACCTAGAAACTCCTTAACTCAATAGCTTCATTTACTCAAAACTCAAAACCTTCCCAAGAAACTTCAAGGGAAGGCAAAAGAAGGACCTACTATAATAGTTGTATTGTAATGCTTGTCAGGCATGTTCAATAACTTGCCTCCCATTGTCAAGTGGGCCAAATTGTTTAATAATTAGTTTCTAACAGATAATTTTCCATGCCGTTTATTTGCAGTATACTGATGCATATAATGTAGTGTCTAATGTACTTTTTGGGAAATTTTTCTCCTTTTATGACCAAGAACAAAAAGTGAAGGAATGTTAGATCTTCAGCCCCACGGTGTGAGGCACAAGGAATCTTCAGCCCCACGGTGTGAGGCTCTTTAGCTTCGGCCCCACGGTGTGAGGCCCTTTACCTTCGCTGCTTGCCAGTGTCTTATCTGGCTGGGGCATCAAGGCCTCCTGCAGCACCTGGTGGCACAGGCGGTTGAGCGCCGCACTATGGGGCTGTCTGCAGTCTCTGCAGCGCCAGTTCCATCCCGGCCGGCTGGCAAGGGTCCCACATGGCACGGCAGACCTTTCCTGTCTCCCCTGCTGCTCCCCTCAGCAGTGTATTTCATCAGTCTGCCTGTTCTGTTCCACGCTCTGCCTCTGGTGAATCCTCTCACCCTTGCACGCATCTGGTCTGTACCCTGGTTCTTGTATAAATAAATAAATAATTCTTAAAAAAAAAGAAAAAGAAAAAGAAAACGATGCCTTTCTGGGCTCCTCTGAGCAGTAGAGACCAGAAGCAATAGAGTGGGGAGAAGGCGAAGGTTGTGGTGTTCCCTCGAAGCACAGTGGTACAGCGGGTGTCTCCTTGTTCACCCAGACCCTAGTTCGCAGGGACCTTCTACTTGCGTCCCAGATCTTGCTCTCCCTATTTTGGCTGAGCCCTGTGATGCACCCACTCTGTAGAGACTCTGGTCTCTACAGACTCTGGTCTCTACAGAGCAGCCCTGCCCTTCACCTGCTCCTGAGCCCAGGCAGAGGGCGTGGCTCCTGCTGAGTCCATGCTGGCAGAAAAAAACCTAGATGGTGTGACCACATTAGAAGCCTTTGCTAATTACTGGTTATTTTATCTCTCTCTATTATTTAATGTAATGTTAGGTGGGTTCCAGTTTACTGGCTGTATTAGTGAGAGTAGAAAGCTCAATGACTTTTTTGCCCAGTGAGACAAGGACACAGAGCTGAGAACCCAGAGCGCTGGGCAGGAGGATTTTGACTTGGGGCTCCAAGCTCAGGGACAACATCCTCCATGCAAGTGTCTGTCAGCCCAGGCATCCTATGGAGCAGGTGCCGCCCAATATCGCTCCCCCGTGGCCACAGTCTTCCTGTGGCCAGGTGGAGCAGGACCTGAGCTCAGCGAGGCCTTCCTTGGGCCTGAGATGTTCCTCACTGCTCCCCAGCCTCAGTCCACCTTCTCACAGAGCAGAAAAGCCTGAGGGGGACTATGTGGATGGAAGGGTGTCACCCACACCTCTGGGGAGATCCCTGTCACCGTGCTCAGGGGAGAGCTAAGCCTCCCTCCCCAGGCTGAGGGAGACTCAGGCCCTGATGGGCCTGCAGAGAGGGAGCTCCTATTCCTCACCCTGAAGGAGAAGCTGGGCAGGAGGGGTGGGGAAGGGAGGCTTCTCCTCAGCTGTTTGCTGGTCAGGGCCACCCGGGGTCATGGACTGGACCACGGACATCACCTCAGGGGTTGTGAGCTAGAGCCTCACCCAGGGGTGCTGTCCCTCCGGGGAGTCCTTGGGCTTCCAGTTCCTCCATGTGCTCAGATGTAGCAGGTTCTGTGTAAATTAGACATTTTAATATTTTTTTACTACTCATAGAGTAGGGGGCAGAAGAGGCAGATCTACTGAAATACACTGCTGAGGGGAGCAGCAGGCAAGACAGGAGAGGTCTGCTGCGCCATGTGGGTCACCTCCCTGGCCGGCAGTGGATGGAACTTGTGCTGCAGTGGCTGAAGATAGCTTCATGGTGCTGCAACTTAACCCTTGTGCCACCAGGGAGGCCCTCATAGGCTTTTTTAAAAATCATAAAAGTAGGGCCTCCCCGGTGGCGCAGCGGTTGAGCGCTGGGTTGCGAGGCTGCCCGCAGCCTCTGCAGAGCCAGTTTGCTCCCTGGGCCACTCCCTGGCCACCGGAGGAGGGTCAGCAGTGTACTTCGGTCCTTCTGCCTGCTCTGCTCCCTGCTCTGGCTCTGGTGAATTCTTTCACCCTCCCGCAGTTCTGACTGTACCCAGTGCTTGTATAAATAAATAAATAAATCTTTAAAAAAATAAATAAAAATCATAAAAGTCACTAAAAATTATCAACTCTCCAAAAAGGTGCCCCTTCCTAAAAGGCAAACACCTTTAGCCCTCTGAGACATCTGTCAGCATTTGTCTCATTTCAGTCCTAACTTCTTTCCTCCCCCAAAGAAAAATATGTCCTGACTTTAATGATCATCATGTCATTGCCCTGTTTTACAATTTATCATTAAATTGTATTCTAATTTTACCTTTTAAAATTTTGTTCTTTTTTTTAAATAAAGATTTATTTATTTATATGAGAACTGGGGTACAGGCCAGAGGCACAGGAGGGTGAGAGAATTCACCAGAGACAGAGTGGGAAACAGAACAGACAGACGGACCGAAAGCACTGCTGAGGGGAGCAGTGGGCAAGACAGGAGAGGTCTGCTGTGCCATGTGGCTGGCCAGGAATCGAACCCAAGCTGCAGAGGCTGCGGACAGCTTCACAGAGTTCACTCAATCTGCTGTGCCACTGGGGAGGCCCTTGAAGTTTTGTTCTTGTATGGGTTCCTCTTGTGTGTTTTTATCCTCCTAATATGTCTATCTGCAGAGTTTCCATTAAGTTTGATTTTTTTTAAATTTTTTGTACCAAAGAAGTCGTGCAGGCCAGAGGTGCGGGGTTGGGTGAGAGGATTGACCAGAGACAGTGTAGGTGGCAGAACATGTGAATTTACTGAAATAAATGGCTAAGGAAAGCAGCGGGTGAGACAGGAGAGGTCTGCTGTGCCATGTGGGTAGCTCCCAGGCTGGGGATCATCTTAGGCCATGGTGGTGATAGCTTGGAGACTTAACCCCGAGGCCTCCAGGGAGGCCCCAGATCTTCATTTCCTTTGAGTAGCACCTAGACATGTAAATGCTGGTTAATGTAATTCCTGCTTAATAACTTTATGAAAAGATACAAAACTCTGTCCCAGGGTGGGTGTTTTATATGCCTCAGGAGAATGAGTGAGAATTGAGCTTGGTCTACACCCTCCTCAACCTTGATTGTTACTAATCTTTTCACTTTTAACCCGTTCTAATGGGTGCACAGTGACTTCTTACTGTGTTTCTACCTTGCATTGCCCCCTCACCCTCACTACTGATGTTGAAAATTTTTTCATACACACATCGACCATTTATGTATCTTCCGTCATAAAATGCCTATTTAAATCTTTTTCTATTTTTTGATACTTGTCTTGTTATTATGAACTCATGGGAGTTATGTCTATACTTTGGATAGAAATCTCTTGTCAGGGACCTCCCTGGTGGCACAAGGTGTTAAGATGCAACCTATGAAGCTATCTACAGTCACTGCAGCACCAGTTAGATCCTTGGCCAGGGAGCTACCCACATGGCACAGCAAACCTCTCCTGACTTCCCCGCTGCTCCCCTCAGCAGTGAATTTCAGTCAGTCTGCCTGTTCTGTTCCCCACTCTATCTCTGGTGACTCCTCTCAACGCCCCCCCCCCCCCCCCCCCCCCGCCTGTACCCCAGCTCTTGTATGCATAAATAAATCTTTAAAGCTAAAAATAAAAAAATAAAACCCAGCCCATGTTGTTCTTGTTCCTAAGAGGTAGACAGGTTAACGATAATATTCCTTTACCTTTCACTTGAGCTCATGTTTGGCTGTACTGATAGCCAAGTTTATATTTCTGTGTTTTGAGAGGATCAAGGCAAGAGACCTGGAAATGTACATAAGTGAGAACTGTAGACCGGGGAAAGGAAAGGTTAGAAAGACAGTACATTGCATCTGTTAAAATATTATTTACCTAAATAAATTTAAATAAAATGTTTCATTGATGGGAATTAAATACATATTAAAAAACCACAGATTTCTTAATAAGTAACATTTACTTCCCCTTTGTAGGTTCCCTCCTGTTTCTCCTTTCCTCAGCACTCCCTCCTCTGCCCTCCCCAAACGCGCTCCCCTCCCCCCTCCCCCCTGCACGCACGAGCCCGCGGCAGCTCAGGTGCGCGCACCTGGACGGTCAGGCGGGGACACGGGCCCGCGCTCGCCCCGCCGCTTGGCCGCGGGGAAGGCGCCGCCGCCCCGGCTCGGGGAGGCCCAGTCTGTAGGGGGGGGACACCCCGGGTCTCGTCACGTTCCTCCCCGAAGGGGGGCACCCCGGGGGGGGTTCCCCGGATCTGCCCGTCGCTGTCCCTCCGGGCGGCGGGGCCCCTCCAGGGGCGGCCCGGGCGGCGGGGGTCCGGGAAGGGTTTTCGGGGGCACGTGGGCAGCGAGAACCGTTCCCTCGTGCGGGCCCCGGAATCTGCCTGAAAGAGGCGCCCCCAGGACCCCCCTCCAGGCCCCAGGACCCCGGCCCGGGCTGCGCAGTGTCGCGACTGCGGGAGGGACAGCCCCGCGGCTTGCGAACCCCCCGCCCGGCTCCAAGCGCCTCCTCCCTCCTTTTTTATAAAAAAAGGAAAAACTGGTTCCTTCCGCCACGATTGGGGGCGGGGCGAGCTTCAGACTCTCTATGATGCTGGCTCCGCACGCGCAGCGCCCCAGCCACCCTCCGCGTCTGTCTCCATTTTCTGAAACGGAGTCCGCAGCGGGTGCGACGGGGTCCTCACGGGAAGGAAGAGCCCCCAAGCTCGTGAGTCCAGGAGCCCAGAGGTGAGCGGAGGAGAGAAAGGCGTCCGGAGGGCAGCCCGGAGGGGCCTCAAGGCAGGTGGGGGTGTTAGGGGGAAAGGATGTCCTGAACTAATCCCATACAGGCTTTGTGGACTCCACCCCCACTCCAGACCAAAGCCATCAGGACATTGGGAAAGACAAATCCCGTCACCACCAAAGGGAGGGTGGCTGGAACCTGAGGTGGAGTTAAGCAGCCAAGTTGGATATAAAAACCAAACACGTGGGCCTTGGAGTGGCTCGCTTTTCCTTGCCTCCTGGCTTCACGGCTCCTGGCTTGTGGCCAGCTCTCAGAGATCCATTTGGGATTCCAGATCGGTGGATCGGGTAGGACTCCTTTAAAACTTTGTCTCCCACTTTTCTCCCTGAGCTGTACATTCCCTCATTTCCCCTTCCCTTGTAAATAAACCTTTTATTAACCTTTCATGTGTGCCTGCAGTAGAGCATTGATAAGTCCTTTTAAGGGCGCAGGTGAGGACCCACAGTCAGGCACCCCATTTTGTATCCGGGCTGCCCTATAATGGGGAGGGGATCGTTTTTAGGACAGAAAACCTGAGTCCTCGCGGGGAAGGGGGAGCCCCAGCTCTATCCCAGGGAGCGCCCCCAATCCAGAGCCCTAGACCCGCGGGGCCTCCCCCACCCTCCCAGAAGGAGTAGGATTTGCTTCCCCTCGTAAAGCAGCCATCTGTGACACGCTGGGCCACACACCTAACAGTGTTATTGGTCCTGATGTCGTTTTTGGAGTCAGGGGGTTGGAGTGCGGGGTCCTGGGGTTCACTCTGGGAAAGGTGTCACCAGAGCTCCCGTTTCAGCGGCCCGCGGCGAGTGTCCCAGGCGAGTTTCTCCACGAGACAGACACGGTAGTGATATTTAAAGGGCAGGTTATTAGGGAAAGGGACAGAGGAATAAAGGACACTTGCATAGACACAAGCGGGCCGGAAGAGCTGCCCCAGAAGGGACAGGTTTGCTGAGAGAGGCCTGCCTGGTTGCAGGCAGGCGGCCTTGACAGGTCACAGGCAGGCAGGAGGCTGCTGCCCTGCAGAGGAAGAGAGTTGGTGAAAAGAGGCACCTGCATGGTCACAGGTGGGCAGAGGGAGTGCTGCCTCCAGCCTGTGCAGCGACTGCTCTGATACAGTCCTTTTCTCTTTGGGAGGGCTCACTCCTCCGGAGTGGCCTGTTTGTTGCTGATTTTGGATAAGAAGGCAAAACTAGAAAGGGGCCAAGGTTCCAGAATGGGCCCATCTCCAGTATTACCATTTTTAATTTTTTTTTAATTTATTTTTGCAAAGAAGAACTAGGGTGTAGGTCAGAGGCGCGGAAGGTTAGTGGATGGACCTGAGACAGAGCGGGGAGCAGAACAGGTGGATCTACTGAAATGCACTGCTGAGGGGAGCAGGGGGCCAGACAGGAGAGATCTGCTGAGCCATGTGGGTCAGCTTTCTAGGGGGAGAGGCTCAACTCAGGCCCTTGATAGGTCTGAGACTTAAACCCTAGGCCACCTGGGAGGTTCCATTTTTAAATTATTACAAGTCTTTTTGGCATTGAGTGTAAGCAGAATGAGAGTTTCCTGGCGCTGCCATCCCTAGGAAGTCCTGAGAAGTGGGGTGGACACGGTCACCTTGGATTTAGCAGGGCTGAGCTCCCTCTCCCTCTCCACTGCCTCTGTCCTTGTTATGGCAGTTTCCAGGAGAAGCCAGACTGTGCTCAGAGGTGGGGGGGAGAGAGAGAGATTTATTCTTCATGATGGAAGACAAGAGTAGAAAAAAAAACAACTGGAAAGGAAACACCACAAGATCAGAAACCTGCTCACACAAGACGATGGGGGCAGAAGAGATTAGCATAGCCATTGACACAGCTATGGAAACTGAGATCCTTATACACAGACAACACAGTTATAGAAACTAAGATCCTTAGAGGATCCTTAGAGGCCTAGATTACAAAGCATAACATCCAAGCAGGCATCCTAATGTGCATCCAAAGGGAAAGATATGAAAATGGAACCCACTGTAGAATCTTGGTCCCTTTCAAGTCTGCATAGTTCTCCCAAATCAGCAGCTAAGGGAAGGCTCACAAGAGGTGAGCCCCTCCCAAAACAGAAGGCTCTATCAGTGCAGTCTCTGCACTGGCTTGGAGCAGCACTCCCTCTGCCCACCTGTGACTCTGCAGGTGCTTCTTTCACCACCTCTCCTCTGCAGGGCAGCAGCCTCCTGCCTGCCCGTGACCTGTGCCATGCTGGGGCTTCTCTTCACTCACCTCCCTCAGTGGAGGCCGCTCTCCTCAAGGCCGCCCGCCTGCAACCATGCAGGCCTCTTAGCTCTTCCTGCCCGCTTGTGTCTAAGCAAGTTTCCTTTATTCTTCTGTCCCTTTCCCTACAAACCTGCCCTTTAAATAGAACTAACGTCTCTGTCTCGTGGAGAAACTTGCCGTGTGTGGCTGAAACAGGAGCTCTGGTGACACTTTTCCCAGAGTGAACCCAAGGACCCCGCACTCCAAACCCCCTGACTCCAAACATGACAACAGTCACACCGAGGGGTCATCGGATTATTTCTGAAAGGCCTGAGCCCCAAGTAACATGGGTTGTGGGTTTTTATAAAGCTTGGGCAAAAAATGTTGCGGAAACGGTACGGTACAGCTCCCGTTTCCCAGGTGAGCATTTGCTTTGCTGAGTTCCACTGAACAGGCGTGGGGTGGGGGTTTGTGAGAGTGTGTGGTTATCTTGTGTGACAGAGCCTGGCCTTCCAGCCCCTGGTCATTTTCTACTTCATTGTGACTTGGGCAAGGAAAAGAATCCCTGAGATGCCATCCCTCATGGGGCGGGGAAATGATGGTGGGCCAAGTAATAATGATAAAGTGAATCTGAAAACTAGGAAATTGTTAAAACTGTGCAACAAGACTTTTCCATACACAGGGTTTTATAGGCCAGTAGAGACAGGCAGAGTTCAAGGCTAAAAATAAAAAGCATGGCAGGGAGACAAAGATGACATGACAGAGCTCCTCATCCTGAGTGGCTCATGTCTTAGTGGGGCTGTAGGATGGTAAGATGGGTTCAAGAACCCCCCCCCAACACACACACACACAAAGGCCACACCCTTTTGAGAAGGTCACCCAGACTCCCTCCTGAAAGGTCCATGCAGCAGGCCGGAATGCAAAAGCCTACCAGGAAGCCCACCTGGGGGGCAGGAATGCGGATACCTGCCTGGAGGATTCTGGCAGTGAGCCTTCCCCCTCCCCCTACAAGTCTCTTCTCAGACAAAGAACCTCTACCTGCCCCACAAAACTCCCCCCCCCCCAACAAACTTTCCCACCGTAGGAGCCCAGTTTCCCACCTGACCTCTCCTCACCCTGTAAAACCCTGCTTCCCCCTAACAACGTGCGCGGCTTCACTGACCCCCACCTTGGGTCCGTGAGGTCCGCCCGGGGCGCAATAAACTTTCCCTCCCTTTGAGAAATTTAGCCTGGCTCTCCTTTTCTTTACTGCGCCAAACCTTTCACCTCCCACCTCCTGGAAAGGCCACTGGCTCCTGCCCACCAGGACCAATGAAACCCCCTCCCTCCACCTTCAGGTCTCCCCTTAATCCCTTTGCTTTCCTTGGGGGTGGGGGAGAAAACACTTTCCCTCCACCTCCTGCACTCTTAGCTTACACCACTGTGATGAAAGACGGTTCCTAAGGAAAGGGCAGGGAGGGTCAGATCATGGACTAGACCAGGGCTTCTGACACCCACCTGCACGTGGACACTGCCCAGGGAGTTGGAAGGGGGAAGGGAGAGGAGGAGGAGACCATAATGGCTGTGGGGCTTTGGGGGCTTAGAGAGTTTGGAGCCTGAGGGATAAAGCTTCGAAGGAGGCAGAGATCTGCATTATTCCATCTCTTCCAGTCTCTGGTGACTTTCCCCGTGACCCTGGTGCAGGCCTGGAGGGTGTGCAGGGAGAAAAGGAGAGGAGGAGGGAGCAGGAGAGGCTCCTTGGAGTCTCCTCAGGAGCTGGGGGAGGCCTTGCTCTGTGGGGGAGCAGGAGCAGTGATCGGGGGCTGCTGGGATTGGGCCCTTCCCAGCTGCTCAGAACCACTTCCTGGGACTTTGGGATCCTAAACTTAGGCTCTTGTAGCTTTGTCCATTTTTTCTCCCCTGCACAGGCCTCCCGACCCTGGGTCCACGTATTTGCTTTCCTCCCTCCATTCTTTTTTTTTTTTTTTTTTGCTTTCCTAAGGGAGCTGTGGAAGGGGCGGGAGGGGCAGGAAATGCTGGGAAAACAATTGAGAGGCGGCCCGAGGGCTGGTTCCGAGGGCTGATCGTGGGCTGTCCTGCCCTCGCTGGCCCCGTCCGGGTTTCTCTTTCTGTGGCTTCCCTTTCTGCTGTGTGTCTCAGCCGCTGCCTAGACGAGTGTCCTGTGGGGTGTGTCCTCGGGGCTCTCCAGGCCCCTGTGCTGCGCTTTGGGCCGCTGGGGCCGCCCGCGCCTCTGGTTGGTGGCGCTGCTGGTGGGCGGAGCAGTGGGGTCCATCCCGTCCATACAGTGCTGTGTTTCGGGCTGTGCAGTCTTGCTTCTGGCTGCTGTCACTTTCTTCGAGCGGCGCTGATTGTCGGGGTCGGCGGCGGGTCTGGTAGCTGGCGCCTCCGGAGGCCAATGCAGGATGGGGCCGTGCCCAGTTCTGCTTCTGGCTGCCCCTGTCCCCTCTGTAGCCCTGGGCGCTGGTGAGTGGGGGTCATTGGTCCCGGGGGCCAGGAGCCTGGGCCTTTCTGGGGTCCCGGAGGGGTCCCCTGGGTGTCTTGGGGACCCTGTCAGGAGGGGTGTGGTCTGTGGGTTTTTTTTCGTTTGATTCATTTTTATTTATGCACAAGAACTGGGGTACAGGCCAGAGGTGTGGGGGGGTGAAAGGATTCCCCAGAAACAGAGTGGGAAGAACAGGCAGATCTACTGAAATACAAGTGTGGGTTTTTTGGTTTTTTTTTTTTGAATATTTATTTATGCTACAAGAACTGGGGTGTAAGCCAGCGGTGGGGGGGGGGGGGCGGTGAGAGGATTCACCAGAGACAGTGGGGAGCAGAACGGGAGCATCTACTGAAATGCACTGCCGAGGGGAGCAGGGCCGGACAGGAGAGGCTGCTGTGCAGGGGGGTCAGCCCCCGGCAGGGGATGGAACTCAGGACGCAGCCAGGTTAGCTCCGTGGTGCTGGGGGCGGGGGAGGGGAGGGCGCCCTCTCCGGGGTCGGGGGTGGCCCTGCCTTTCACCCCTGCCCCTCCAGGGAGGCCCTGAAATACAGGGAGGCAGGCCCTGAAATACGGGGAGGCAGGGCCTCCCCGGTGGGTGGCGGGTTGAGGGCAGTGCTGTGAGGCTGGAGCGCTCCGCCTCCCTCTTCTGCTCTGCTTCCCTGGGCTCAGTGGAGGAGGCTGGGGACACAGAACAGGACACACAAGACACGACTTGGCGGCAGGACATGACGTGCCGCGAGCCCCGCCCCTCCTCTCCCCTCCGCTCAGTTCAGCTGCCCACATTCTCAATTTCTGCCAGCCGGGGAGAGTCCCCCATGGCGAGGCAGACCTCTCTTGTCGTGCCCGCTGCTCCCCTCAGTGTATTTCAGCCCGACTACCTGTTCTCCCCACTCTGTCTCTGGTGAATCCTCTCACCCTCCCATGAATCTGGTCTGTACCCCGGTTCTTGTGTAAATAAAAAAAAATTTTCTTTTTTTAAAAGAAGGGACAGCAGGCTGGACAGGAGAGGTCTGCGGGGCCTGGGTTAGCTCAGCTGCCTGTGGGGCTCAAGCTGAGGCGGAGGCTTCTGGCCACAGCCTGACAGCGCGGACATTTTCACCCTGAACCACCAGGGAGGTCCTAGTTTTCCATCTTCTTTCCCTGTTTGGATTCCGTGTGTGTCTTTCTCTTGCCTTGTTGCTCCTCCAGGAGTAAACTGGGCTTCCAGGATTACACGGAGAAGCAGTGGTGAGAGGGGACATCCTGTGTGTTTGTCACAGATGAATTTTACCGTGTTAGGTCAGGCGTGTGCCTTCTGTCCCGAGGATTTCCAGACCTTCATCATGAGTGCACGTTGAATTCTGTCAAATGATTTGTCAGTATCTGTTTATAAGATTTTAGTTTTTTCTTTTTGTCGATGGGTTGAGTTACATTAACTGATTTTTGAGAAATTTTTTTTTTTAAGATTTATTTATTTTTATACAAGAATTGGGGTACAGGCCAGAGATGCACAGGGGGGCGAGAGGATTCAACAGAGACAGAGTGGGGAATAGAACAGGCAGACAGACCGAAGAACACTGCTGAGGGGAACAGCGGGCAAGACAGGAGAGATCTGTCCCACCATGTGGGTTTCTCCCTGGCCAGCTGGGAATCGAACTTGTGCTGCAGTGGCTGCGGATTGCTTCATAGGTTGCGTCTTAATCCCTGCGCCACCAGGGAGGCCCCCATTAACTGATTTTTGGATGTTGAACCATCTAGTGACCCTGGGGTAAATCTCACTTGGTCATAGTATATTATCCTTTTGATGCTTTGTTGGATTCTGTTCGCAAGGATTTTATTGAGGATTTTTGCATCAGTGTTCATTAGGGAGATTGGCCCATAGTTTTCTTTTTTTTTTTTTTGAAAATTTACTCATTTATGCATACAAGAAGTGGGGTATAGGCCAGAGGTGTGAGGGGGTGAGAGGATTCACCAGGACAGAGTGGGAAACAGAACATGTGGATTGACTGAAATAGACTGCTGAGGGGAGCAGCGGGCAAGTCAGAAAGGTCTGCTGTGCCATGTGGGTAGCTCCCTGGCCAGGGATCCAACTCAGGATGCAGTGGGCTGAGGTGACCTTCCTAGTTTTGCATCTTAACCCCTTGCACCACCTGGAGGTTCCCTCTTCTTTTGTGTGTGTTGTCATTGGTTTTGGCATTAGTGTCATGTTGGCTGAGCAGGAGGGGCAGGAAGTGCAGGGAAAACAATTGACAGGCCTTGATGTGAGCACATCGCTGCTCACCTGAGTGGTCCTGCCTTCCTGGCTTCTGCCTCCAGCTGACATTCTGCTTCCACTGCAGCTGTGGTCTCTGCTGCTGCCTTGGCCTCCTCCGCCTAGGCCAGCTCACTCCTGTCAGGCACGGAATGTTGCCAGCTTCAGGATGGGCCAGTGCCCTGTTCTGCTTCTGGCTGCCCTCACCTCCTCCCTAACCCTGGGCGCTGGTGAGGGGGCTTCATGGGTCCTGGTGGGCAGGAGCCTGGGCCTTTCTGGGGTCTGGGAGGGGTCCCCTGCATGCCTTGGGGCCCTCTCAGGAAGGGTGTAGCCTTTGGGGGGTTCTTGAGGAAGGTCAGTGGGGATTTGGCTGGTTGCACACCCCTCGTGATATACTTATGTATATTTTTTTTATGTATTGATGTTATTTAAGCAGTAAAGTTGTGGCCTGCATCTGGGCCATACCCCACCTTCCCAGGTTGCCTTAACAGTGCCTCAGTTCTTTTCTGTCCTGCATGTGGACCCCTCCTACTCCATCCCTCTCCCCAACCTTCTGGTCTCACCTGCTGCCCCCTCCCTGCTGCTCCCCTCCCTGACACTCTCACCTTCCTGCCACCTTCCCTTTCTCTGTTTCCCCTCCTTCCCAGCTGCCCCCCTTTCCAGCTATCCCCCATCCCTGATGCCCCTTTCCCTGCTGTACCCCCTCTTTGCTGATCCTCCTCCCTGCTGTCCCCTGATCTTTGCTGCCCCCTTCCCTGCTGTCCCTCCTCTCTGTGTTCTAGGGTGTCGTCCTCTTCCTCACTCGTTTTCTTCCTCCCTCCTGCACCATTGCCTGCCAGGAGCCTTCACCTGATGGAGCCTACCTCCCCCCATTTTACTAAGCCCTGCTTTCTGAGGGTGCTTTGTGCCTCAGGTATCTCCCTCCATGCTAGCCCCCCCCCCCCCGCCTCATCCAGGAGAGCCTGGGAGCTCCGCATCTTTGCCTTGACTGCAGGCACAGCCCCTGTGCACAGACCTCCCTGTCTTCTGGCCTCAGCTCCCACCTCCAGCCAGTGCAGCTCCTGCTCCTGGGCCCTCACCACGGGCCCTTCCCCACGCCTGCTGTCCTCACCCCAGACCCTCCTCTCTGGTCAGCACCCTACCCAGTTGCCCTCCCTACCCCAACCCAGGCCCTGCTCATTTTGGTCCCCAGTCCTGGCCCTCAGCACCAATCTTCCAGCTGCCCCTTTCTCTTGCAACCCCTGCCCTTCCCAGACCTGAGAGCTGCTCTTGATGCTGTTCCTCTAGCCGTCACCCCTTTGGGTTCCTCGACCCCACAGATCCGCCACCCTGTGGCTTTCTCCCACCTGCTGCCTGATAGATGCGGCCCCCTCTATGGAGGGGCCTCATCACCACCTGCATCACCCTGAACTGCCTCCCCAATCTAAACTCTCCCTGGGCCCACAGGCTGACTCCCAGTCCCTGCACCTGCCTCTCTCCGGGTCCTGGGCAGGTTCATCCACCTCCCCAACCTGTCCTTGAGGAACCACAGCCCTGCCTGGCTCATGTCATCCTCCTGCCTCACACCACAGCTGCTCTGACCTCTGACCCCTGCTCTGGACCCTCACATCCCCTCGCTGCTCTCTGACAAGACCCCCCAGTCCTCCTAGGGACCCGGTGCCCCCTCTCTTGACCTCTGACCCCAATTTCCCCTCTCCATCCCTTTTCCACCTTCACCCCTCTCCTTCCTTCCTTTTCTTAGATTTATTTTCTTACATAGTTGTTGACTTTTGTACAGAATTTGATTTCCCCTCTCAGGTGCAGTCCCCTTGGTCCATCGCCCCGTCCCTGTGCTCTCCCTCCCCAGGCTGCCCCTCCCTGCCCCTCCCTGGGCCCTCTCCTTCCTTCTCCTTGCCTGGTGTCCTGTGCTGCGAATCCTCCTCCTGTCCCTACGAACACAGCCCTGTCTGCAGCCCCCAGGTCTCTAGGAGCTCAGGACATGCAGCTTCAGGTAACTCTAATGCTCAGGTAGCTCATACCTGCCTCATTTCTCTCCCCAGGACCCCACAGGCTTCAGTATGAGCTCACGGAGACCCAGGATGCCTCGCTGTACTCGCGATTTGTTGCCAAGGAACACTTGGATGATCAGCTCATCCTGCGCTACGACAGTGGGAACAGCAGACCAGACACCCCAGGCCTGCTGGCATGAGTAGTCCTGGGGGCTGAGCCGGGGGACACAGTGACCAGTGGCTTTACAGGGGACAGGAGGGACCTCTTGAGGAAGCTGGCAGATATCAGGGAAAAGCAGAGCCAGAGTGGAGGTGAGAGGGGCAAGCATGGGGGGCCTTTCCCAGGACAGTTAGGGCAGCCGGTGGGGCCTGTCTCTTTCCACTGGATTTGCTGTGGGGGGTTGAGAATGGGGGTGGGGACTTCAGCACAGAGGTGATGTCTCTTCAGCCAGCACAGGGAGAGGTGGGGAGAGTGGGGGCGGGGGTGGTGTGAGTTTCTCCCCTGGGGGAGCAGGGGACACAGGACTGGGGGAGTTACCACTGGGTCTGTGTTGGGGGTAGGCTCCCGTTCCCTCCAGGAGGTTCGGGGCTGTGAGATCCAGGAAGACACCACCAGGGCCTTCTGGCGGTCCTTCTATAACGGGGAGCCCTTCCTCTTCTATAACGAGACGACCCATGAGTGGGAAGCACCCCAGTCCTCGGTTCTTCCCTTGGCTGTGGAAGTCAAGAAATCCTGGGACACAGATAGGATTGGAAGCCAGAATTCCTGGGCCCTTGTGCGTGGTGACGTTTGTGGAAAACTGCGGAGATATCGGGAATCCTGGAAGGCCTTCATTTAGAGAACAGGTAAGGCTCTGGGCACCCCATACCCCCCAGCCTGTCTTCCAGCTCTGCCCAAGGAGACCCGCCAGTACTATGAGCTGCCTGAATGGTCTCAGGGGTGTGGTGTTGTGAGGTGCCTGCACTGTTATCCCCCTGGGTGAAGACAAGAGCCAGGGAGGGCACGGAAACCAGGGAGCTACGGAGCACTGAGTGGGAGAGCCGGGGGTCAGGAAGGAGGGGAAGCCCTCAGAGTGGACGTCAGCCCTGCTGGCTCCCAGCCTGTCAGTCCCTCCTGGTCCCTCCTGTGCAGGAGCCCACCCCTCCCAACCCCCTCCTCAGCTTCAGCATGTGGGTCCCGGGCCTTCCTCACACCAGCCTGAGGAGCTGGGCCCCAGGGTGCAGAACCACCTGGGGAAGTTCCATGGTCAGTGATCGAGGTGGGAAGGAGCAGCCTTGGTCTCTCAGTCTCCCTCACTGGGGAGCAGGGCTTGGCCTTGTGTTTAACTGACTCTGTGCTTCTTCCCGGTACCCCCAGCTGTGAATGCCACCTGCAGCCCTGCCTCGGAGGGCATGGTCATCATGACCTGCTGGGCATCCGGCTTCTCTCCCTGGAATATCTCACTGGTCTGGCCTCAGGACGATGAGCCTCTGAGCCCAGATGCCCAGCTGCCTGGGGGTATCCTGCGTGATGAGAATGGGACCTATTGGTCCTGGGTGACCCTATGGGTTCCCCAAGGAGAGGAGCAGAGGGTCACCTGCTCTGTGGAACATTACTGGAACTGCACTGTGACCTGTGGTGAGCCTGGGGTGATCTGTGGGAGTTGGACCTTGTAGGGTTGGGGATCAGGATGGGGTGGAGAGCAGGCCTGTGGCTCTGGGTGCCCAGGTTAAAATAAGATCTTTTCTAGGAAAGGAGCCAGTGCATCGGCGTCCATGGCCAGCTGTGTCTTGGGGTATCGCTGTCGGTGCCAGTTTCACTGTCCTTTTCGCTGCTGTCCTTCTTTATAACTTTTGGCTCAGAAAGACATCAGCTGGGGAATGTCCAGGTGAGATACGGGGCTGTAGGTGGCGAGGGAGGGCCTTTTCTACCTGTGACCAGGGTCTCACGTCACCCACTCTGCAGCTAGGAGAGGGATGACTGGCCTCTGTAACAGGAGTTCGAGTGGGGTCCTTGTGATGGGTTTGGGGGCCACCTCTGCGCCCTTATCCCTGCCCAGAGCCAGGGCCCTGAGTGTGCAGCCGGGCCCCCCTCCTGGGAGGAGGGTAATGGGGTGGCAGAGACCATGTCCCCTGCTCAGTCTCCTCAGGCTTGTCCCTGCTCTCAGGCTCCCCAGGGCTTGCGGGGGTGTGTTGGGACCATGGGCATGTTGGGGGTGGGGCTGTGTGATCCTGGATTTGGGGTAACAAGCAATAAGAGCACCTGTGACCTAGTGGGAGGATTAAATTCTGGGGAGTGGTGATCTGAGCCCCACAGCCAGGGGCTCAAATAGGCAGGTCTGTGGGTCTCCTGCTCATCTGCTTGACACCCCCTCCCCTTGGGTCAGAATGTTGCTTCTTCTGTCATTGAGATGTGGATGCAAAAGAATATGAAAGTCATGAGCTAATTTCCAAATTTCCTTCTTTGAACTTGAAGTCCAAAGCAGAGGCTTATGACTGTCGTTGGTTAGCCTTAATGGGGTTTCCTCGAATTTCGGGTTTGCGATGCGTATAAGTGAACAGGAGTTCTCTGGGGAGCTCCCTGTTTAAGAGGGTTCCAGATCGGAGGTGGGGGGCGGTGACACTGACAGTCCAGGGTCAAAGAGGACAGACCTAGCCTCAGGCTAGGGGTCTCCAGAGTCCCTCACTGCACTGAGAAGCAGACCCACTAAGGCTGTGAGCCAGTGCCTGGACAGGAGGGAGGGCCTGGGAGCCTCAGCCAGGCAGCAGCATGGGGTGGAGCTCAGACTCCAGGCACCAGGGCCAAGTGCAGCGTGAGATCCTGGGGGGCCGCGAGGGTCCGGGCAGGGCTGATCTTTTCTGAGGTGCTCCAGGGCCCATCAGCCACCTAGCATGTCACTAAGATCCCGATAGCCATGCAGTTAGGAGCTGCTTACCAGGGCTGGGGCAGAAGCAGGATGAACTGCAGGGATAGGGGTATGGGGAAGAGAGCAGGCAGTGGCCCTGGGGTACAGGCAGCTGTGAGGAGAGGAGGCTGGGAGCTGAGGAGAGAAGCCCCTGTATGTGAGCACCCCCTGGCCTGGATGCTGGGCCTAACCTCTCTCTCAGAGACCCTGGCACTGGTAGGGGAAGGCCAGGGCTGGAGAGGGGGGCATTGGGTTTCTGCTTCTGGATCTGGTCCTTCAGTCTGGCCCTTCCGAGCTCTCACCTTGTGGTGCTGGGCGCAGGGACTGGTGATGATGTGGTGGAGTCAGGGCCAACCGAAGGGCAATTCCTGAAGAAACAGAAGGCAATATTCTGCAGCCAACTGAACATTTATTGATGTCTCTTTTCCCAGGGACCGTTAGCCTGCAAGACCTGAGCCAAGTGGTGAAAACGGACCTTGGGTGCTGGTCCGGATCTTCAAGCTGCTGGGCCTCAGGGCTCTCAGCCTCTGTTGTCAGAGCCTGAGTCCGGGGACTCAACTGTGGGCTCTTAGCATCTGCACATTTAGAGTGGACTCACTGCCTGCACTCCTCTCATCAGCACTTTCTCTTGGTGCCTTTGTTTTCTCATCTGCAATTAGATAACAGCATTCTCTGTAACTGTCTTTCCTCTGTACCTCCTGAGGATTCTCACACCAGCTTTCCTTTGTGCTCTGTCACTTTGTATCTCAGTGCACATCTTGTAATATGTGTGTATATGTATATATGTGTATGTGTATTTATATATAAACCTATTGATTTCATTTGTGCAGTATTTTACAATTTTATATTATAAATCTTTAAACATACATATATGGTGTGTGTATTATTTCATGTGTCTGGGAAGGGATACTATGAGGTTGTGGGGAGATGGAGAGGTAGATAGAGCACTAAAAATCCCACCTCCTGCTCCCCAGCTCCCAGTACTACCAGACTCACAGGAAAGCATGAAGGGCTGGACTAGCTCGAGTGGGGGGTCTGAGGCCAGTGCTCAGGGATTGAGCCTGGAGAGAATCTGACCTGATGGTGGAACCTCAGGTGATACGGCAGAGCTGATCTCCGGAGGAACAGGGACACTGCATTGGGGTGACCTTGTGACAGGGTAATCCCCAGGGTTCCATGCCCCATGGGAAGGGAGGGTGGGGTTGAGCAGGGAGGGGAAGCTGGAGGAGAAGCTAGAGAAGACCTGGAGAAGGCAGGAAGGGGAGCATGAGGAGGGCTTGGGCGAGGCACAGGGGCAGAGACATGTGAAGGAGCTGCACTTGCTTGGCCTTGGCTTGTACCAGGGATGGGGACATGGAAGGAGACACTTAAGACAGAAACGTGTGTGAGAGGCTGTGGGGAGGCTGATGATGGCATCTTTTACTTGATTTCAGTTTTGATTTTTTCTCCTTTCCTTGAAGACTTGCCTGGCCGCTTCTGCCCCTTTCCCATGGTTCCACACCAGAAGGTGCCTTAGACTTGTGGCAAGATTTTGGGCCTCAGCAGTCCTGCTTTCAACCCACCTTGTTTGGGCATTTACGCACAAGGCATGGGTAATTTTGGGTGTTTGTTTTGGAAACTCTTTCCTTTTCTCCATTGCACACTAATTGTATTAAAGTTCCTCTGCAGGGAAGGTCTCATGCACTAGATTATGTTTTGTGTTGATGAGGCAGATGGTAGAAGGCAGTTAGTAGGCAGGTTTGGGGGTTCCTGGGATGCCCCTCCCCCTGTGCTGTGACAGCCAACCACGCAGAACAGGCGCGTCTGCTGGGATGAAGTGGTTTCTGGGCGTATGACAACTGAGTTGAGGAGACAAGTGAACTGAATGTGGAGGAGCACACACAACCATAGCATCTCCCCCCTAGTTCTGTGAGGTTTCTGCAAGAGGGAAATTTCTGCAAGGGAGAGGAGGCACTCCCCCTCTGAGGATCATGCTTCCTCACTTCGGGGGGCACACTGACAGTTGGTACTCTCCTTGGTCAGGAATGACTAACCCCGTACTAGGTTAAACACTGACGACAGCACTGAGGTGGGGGTTTGCACCACCCACAAACCTAACATTTGAGGGGAGCCCAGTGGGCAACAAGACCTGCCTGGAAGGAAGTGGAGGGTGAGGGTCCTGTTCCCCTTACTGAGGTTCACAGGGTGAACAAAAAGAAATTGGAAAAGAGAATTCTTTGATACATCTTTTCATATTTGTGTGTGTTGACATATTTCGTGTTTTTATTCAGGGTTGATGTCATTCATTCAGGCTTGTATTCCGGTATTTTTGCGTTTTAGCTAACTGTCAAGTGTCCTTTGTTACTCAGTTGTCATCAAGTAAACTTCATACTCAGGCAACTTTTTGCTTTTATTTGAATCAGTCACAACTGTTTATAATCACAATGCAAATATTTGTGCAAGATTTCTCCTGAAATTGACACCATTGTAGTCCTCTTCTCAGTTGTTGCCTTACTCCAGGTAACTATTTTCAGTATTTTTAGATGATTCTGTTGGCTTTTTACTTTCCTATGTCTAAAGTCCATGTCTTTAGTACTGTTGCTTGATGTTCTGGTTGTGGCATCCATCAGTGATTGATGTGATTGTTAATAGTAGATATTTTCTTTTTCTTTTATTCTTCCCACTCCTACATAGAGTGATTGCTTCCCATAGAGTGATTACATTTAGTTGACTCATTCAATATTTTCTTTTCCATGACTAGTGTTCTCATACATAAATATTAGTCCTTGTAGCTGCTGCACAACTTTCTATTCTCCCTGGAGTTCATAATTGCCTTTGTTTTTTTCTGTCATTTTCTATGTACTTTCACAATTTGACTTTGGTATTTATTGTATTACTTCTTTTTAAAGATTTATTTATTATTTATGCATACCAGAACTGTTGTACTAGGCACAGGTGTCGGGGGATTCACAGAAACAGAGCGGGGAGCAGAACAGGCAGACTGACTGAAATACACTGCTGAGGGGAGCAGCGGGCGAGTCAGGAGAGGTCTGCTGTGCCATGTTGTTATCTCCCTGTCCGGGGATCGAACTCGTGCTTCAGTGGCTGCAGACAGCTTCATTCGTTGTGTCTTAACCCCTTGCACCACCAGGGAAGCCCCTCTATTGTATGACTTTGAAGAAGTGAGGACACTAGGTATTTTACCCATTTTACCTTCATTTCTCCTGGACCCGACTTAAATTCACCCATCTGGATTGGATTCTTTTACATTGGATTCTTTTACATCTCTTTGAGATCTCCTTTCACCCCCATCCTGCAGAGTATTTTGTGCAGCACAATTACCTGGTAACCTGCTAAAATGCAGACACATTAAAGATGTCAAGGTTTGGGCCAGTGAGTCTGATTTTCTCTCTAGTTTCATGTGATCCTGATGTTGCTGGTCCATGGACCATAATTGACATAACAAGGAACTTTCTGTTTTTTTCTCATGTGTTACCTTCACTTTTCTATACCCTGCATCTTTCTCTCTCTTAAATGCTAAGCTTGAGGCCTCCCTGGTGGTACAGTGGTTAAGATACAACCTATGAAGCAATCCGCAGCCACTGCACCACGAGTTCAGTTCCCAGCAGGCCAGGGAGTAACCCACATGGCGGGACAGACCTCTCCTGTCTCGCCCACTGCTCCCCTCAGCAATGTACTTCGGTCTGTCTGCCTGTCCTGTTCCCTGCTCTGTCTCTGGTGAATCCTCTCACCCCCCCACATCTCTGGCCTATACACCAATTCTTATATAAAAAAAAAAAAATCTTTAAAAAAAAAAGAAATGCTAAGCTCTTACTAATACACTTTAAATTAATTAATGGTAATTAATGGGATTAATAAAATTAACAACTTTTATTGTGGTAAATAATATATAACATAAAATTTGCCAACATAACCATTTCAAATGGCAATTTTTGGTTTTATTTAATTTTTTTATATCCAAAAGGGCCGGTTTATTATATAAGAAAATTTGAAGGCAGACCCTCCTGGTGGTCAAGCTATCAGCAGCCACTGCAGCATGAGTTTGATCCCTGGCCAGGGAGCTAACCCACATGGTGCAGCAGACCTCTTGTCTTGCCTGCTACTCCCCTCAGCAGTGTATTTCACTAGATCAGCCTGTTTTGCTCCCTATTCTGTCTCTGGTTATTCCTGTCACCCGCCCCCCCCCCCACCTCTGGCCTACACCCCAGTTTTTTTACGTAGGAATAAATACAAATAAATCTTTAGAAAAAAATCTAAAGGTCTGTATAGCCAAAGAAACAATAACCTAAATGAAGAGACGGCCCACAGATTGGGATACAATTTTCACACCATACAACAGAAAAATGAGTGATTTCAAAGGTCTACAAGGAGCTGAACTCAACAAAAACCAAACAAACAACCTAGCCAAAAAATGGGCAGAAGAACTAAAAAGACACGTCTCAAAGAAAATGCAAATGGGCAACAGGTATTTGAGAAAATACTCAACATCATTTATAATAGGGGAATGCAAATCAAACCACAATGAGATAACATCTCACAACAGTGAGAATGGCCTATAGTAAAAAACAAAACAAAATAAACTGGCTACAACCAATGCTGGTGAGGATGTGGAGGAAAATGAACACTCTTACACTGCTGGTGGGATGTAAAATGGTCCAAGCACTATGAAAGCTGTGCAGAGATTCCTCAAATTACTAAAAATGGATCTACCATATGACCTAGAAATTCCACTCCTAGGGATCTACTGAAAGGACACAAAAACTTTAATTCAAAAGGAAACCTGCCCTCCTATGTACTGCAGCACTATTTACAATAGCTAAGATTAGGAAACAATCTAAATGCCCCCAAAGAGATGACTGGATCAGGAAGATGTGGTTTATATACACAATGGTATACTACACAGCACCAAAAAGATAAACGTATGCCATTCCCAGCAACATGGATGGAGATAAGTCAGAAGGAAAAAGAAAAATATTGGATGGTCTCACGTATAACGGGAATATAAGGGAATCAACACTGGGGTAAAAAATACTCCAAACCTTGCAGCCAAACTATAGATTGATGCATATAGCTGGGGAGGGGAGGGGGAAAAAAGGTGTCGAAACAGAGGAGGGAAGAGCACAAGGGATGATGGTGACGGCTCATGGGTGATAGTGGTGGTAGGAGATTTGTAGGGACTATAACTGAGGGGAGAAATCAATTATTAACAACTATGTAAGAAATAAAGGAAAGAGAGAGGGAGAAAGAGGGGTGGGGGGAGAAAGAGAGAGACATAGACAGAAAGAAAAGGAGAAAGAAGCAGCAGCTAAGCAGAAGCGGAAGAAGCAGAAGCAGAAGAAGCAGAAGCAGAAGAATATTTATTTATGCATACAAGAACTGAGGTACAGGCCAGAGGTGTGGGGGTGGTGAGAGGATTCACCAGAGACAGAGTGGGGAGCAGAACAGGCAGACAGACTGAAAGCACTGCTGAGGGGAGCAGCAGGCGAGACAGGAGAGGTCTGCCGCACCATGTGGGCATCTTATTGGCCTCAAGGAACACTATGTGGCCTGTCTGTGTATAAGCTAAGGACAATGAGACACTCAGGTTTTGAAGTTGTCTGAGCATAACCCAGGCACCGTCCTGCATGCCCACAACTCATTCTTTTCATTATACCTGCTCTTATGAATAGTTGTTTATATGTCTGTCTAAAGCACTGAAGAAAAATTCAATGCTATTCAAATGTGGAGGATTATCTTCAAAGAGAAAGGGTCTGATGTTGGATTTTAATGAGCATTTTGGAGCATAGGGCATTCACTTCATATGATATGAATAATATAATAATTTTTCACTAAATATGGTCTCTCCCTGAGTCTCTCCCCACAGAAATCCAAATTCACATTAAGAGATAAAATTTCACATGTTTCACACAAGGTGTAAGTCACCAAGTTATCACCCCCTGGAGACATCACTGTCAAAACCTCAGGAATATTTTCCAAGTTTTCTTCTTTAAAATACATACTGTGTAGGGGCCTCCCCGGTGGCGCAGCGGTTGAGTGCTGGGTTGCGAAGCTGCCCGCAGCCTCTGCGGCGCCAGTTCGATTCCCTGCTGCTCCCTGGCCACCGGAGGAGGGTTCCACATGGTGCACAGACCTCTCCTGCCACCCGCTGCTCCCCTCAGCAGTGTACCTCGGTCCTTCTGCCTGCTCTGCTCCCCGCTCTGGCTCTGGTGAATTCTCTCACCCTCCCGCGCTTCTGACTGTACCCAGTGCATGTATAAACAAAACAAACAAACAAACAAATAAATAAATAAAATAAAACATGCCTCTATAAAAAAAAATACATACTGTGTAAGTGGTATTATAATTGCATATCAAGAGTTCACTAGCTCTCAGGGAAAGCTTAAAAGTACACAGGCACATCTTTTCACAGCAATAGGGTAAAGCCTGTCTTCTTCCTTGCAAAGGCTGCACAGATTTCATCACTGGGCTTTTGGGGTGACCATGTTGAACATCTTCATTGGGGTGCTGATGACATGGATGTGTGTAATTGCTAAAACTCAGCCAGGTGTGCACTTCAAAGAGACACATTATGTTTTATGTAAAGTGTACCCTAATAAAGTTGGTATTCAAATATTATCCTCTTTGAAATGGATGCTCTGGTTATGTAAAAACAAAACTCAGCCCCTGTTGTTCTTGTTCCTAAGAGGGAGAAATGTTAACGGTAACGATTTCTTTACCTTTCACTTGAGCTCAAGTGGTTTGACTGTGCCCATAGCAACTGTACATTTATGTGTTTGAGAGGGTCAAGGCAGGAGGCTTGGAAATGCATATGTGTGAGTACATTATCAGGGCATTGTGTCTGATAAAACATTGTTAACTTAAACAAATTTAAATAAAATATTTCGTTGATGGGAATGAAATATATTTCAATAAACCATCGATTTATGAATAAATAACAATTACGTCCCCTTTATAATTTCCCTCCCTTTTCTCCTTTCTTCAACACTCCACCCCCTGCCCTCCCCGCCTGCGCTTCCCTCCCCGCCTCCCCCCTGCACTCGTGAGCCCGCGGCAGCTCAGGTGGGCGCACCTGGACGGTCAGGAGGGGACACAGGCCCGTGCTGGCCCCGCCGTTTTGCACGCGGGGAAGGAGCAGTGGTTCCACCTTCAGGGAGGTCCAGTCTGGGTGGGAGCCACACCGGGTCTAATCACGTTACTCAGGAAGGGAGGAGAACCCGGTGGGTTTCCCCGATCCTGCCTCTTGCTTTCCCTTCGGTAGTCGGAGACCCTCCAGGGGGGGCCCAGGTCTGGGAAATGTTTTAGGGTGTAAGGGGGCAGCAAGAATCTTTTCTCTATTGCGGAGCCCCAGGAATTTGCCTGAAAGTGTTGCAGAAATAAATTCTAGCCTTTTACTCAAGTAGAGGAAAAAGAAGCGGTACTTAGGGAATGGTGAGGTCAGGAGAAGCTTTATTACTCATGCGTGAGGTCCCAGACTGGGTAGCACAGTAAGGTCTGAGCACCAGTCTAGGGACAAAGGGTTTCTTTTATACATAACCATCTTACATTGATAACACCGGTCAGTAAGCACAAAGGTTTGTGACAATAGGTATTTGAGGATGCCCTGGGACATCAATCAGCCTGTCCTGTTGTCTGGCCTAGTTAAAATGTAACCTGGGTTGGCCTCCCCTGGTGGCGCAGACGGTTGAGCACATGGCTGTGAGGCTGTCCGCAGCCTCTGCAGCGCCAGTTTGATCCCCAACGGTCATGGTCGGCGAGAGTCCCACATGGCCAGCAGACCTCTCCTACCGCGCCCGCTGCTCCCCTCAGCAGTGTATTTCGTCAGTCTGCCTGTTCTGTTCCCTGCTCTGTCTCTGGTGAATCCTCTCACCCTCCAGCGCATCTGGCCGGTACCCTGGTTCTTGTATAAATAAATAAATAAATCTTAAAAAAATGTAACCTGGGTTAGGTAATCTCATCCAGATAGGCTTTAGAAATGCAAAACTTGTTGTTTACATTTACTTTGCATTATTTACTGCACCAAACCTATGACTCTTTTAGCAGGAAACAGGAAATATTTCATTTGCTTGGCGGTTCCCTTTGAAAAGAAGTGGCCTGCAGGACTCCAACCCTCCGGGAAACCCAGCCCAGCTGTATGCGGTTCTGTGATTGGCGGGAGGAACAGTCCGGCACTTAGCAAACCAGTAACCTAAGGGCCGCTAGCTCCTCCCCACTGGGCTCCAAGCACCTCCTTTCTGCATTTCTATCAAAAAATACATGGTTTCCTTCTGCCAGGGTTGGGGGTGGGGCGGTCTTGTGGCCTCACTGCAATCTAGTCTCCGTTTCCGCAGCTCCCCAAATCCCCGCCCTTTGGTGGCATAGGTTTCCTGCTCAGTTGGTTTCGGTTCTCTAAAAACGGTGTGTGCAGTGGATGGGACGAGGCCTTCACGGAGAGAAAAGCCCCTGTGCTTGTGACTCCAGGAGCCCAAAAGGTGAGTGAAGGAGAAACAGTCGTTTGGAGCACAGACCAGAGGGGACTGTGCAGCATGACTTTTCCGTAACAGGGTTTTGTAGGCCAGTAGACAGGCAGAGTTCAAGGCTGAAAATAAAAAGCAGGTTAGGGAGACAAGGGTGATGTTACAGGGCAACCAAGACTTGAGACAAAGATGACACTGCGAGTCCTGCAGACCTAGTGCGCTTATGGTGACCAACGCAAGGAAAGTTACTTTGGGCTGGTGAACCACGGGTGTAGCTTGGAAACCACATTGGGCTCCAAACTGTTACAGGGCAGCCCCAATATAAAATGGGTTGCCTGACTGTGGGTCCTCATCCGCGCGCTTAAAAGGGACTTATTAATACTCCACTGCAGGCACACACAAAAGGTTAATAAAAGGTTTATTTACAAGGGAAGGGAAATGAGGAAATGTACAGCTCAGGGAGAAAAGAGGGAGATAAAGTCTTAAATGCGTCCTACCCTTTCTGCTACCCAGGAATCCCAAAGGCACGCTGAGAGCAGGCCGTGAGCCATGAGCCTTGAAGCCAAGAAGAGCCCCCCAAGTCCCCTGAGTCTGGTTTTATACCAAACCTGGCTGCTTAACTCCACCCTCAGGTCCCAGCAACCCTCCCTTGGGTGGTGACGGGATTTGTCTTTCCCAATGTCCTGATGGCTTTGGTCTGGAGTGGGGGTGGAGTCCACAAAGCCTGTATGGGATTAGCTCAGGACATCCTTTCCCTCTAACAGATTGACTGAAGTACACTGCTGCGGGGAGCTGTGGGCCAGGCAGGGGGGGTCTGCTGTGCCACATGGGTCAGCTCCCTGGCCAGGGATCCAACTGGAGCCACTGAGGTCTGAGTGGTGATAGAGCTGAGACTTAACCCCTAGGCCGTCAGGGAGGTCCCATTTTACAATTATTAGAAGTCTTTTTGTGGCTTCCTGAGCCTAATGAGAGTTTCTTGGTGCTGCCATAGGAAGTCCTGAGAAGCAGGATCACCGCCAAGTCACCTCTGGAGGTTAGCAGGGCTGTGCTCCCTCTCCCTCTCTACCACCACAGTCCTCGTGACTTTGGCTGGGAAAAGAATCCCTGAGACCCTGTCCTTCACTGGCTAAATGATGGTGGTCCACGTAATTCATGAGTAAAAGTGAATCTGGAAACTAAGCATTTGTTACAGTTGTGAAACATGACATTTTCATACACAGGAAAATACAGGCTAGTAGAGGCAGTTAGAGTTCAAGGCTAAAAATATAAAGCACGGCAGGGAGACAGAGTTCCTGATCCTGCGTGGCTCATATCTTAGTGGGGTTGTAGGGTGATAAGATGGGTTAAAGAACCCCCCCTAAACAAAGACCACTCACCTCTTTAGAGGGTCCTCAGGACACCCAGGGGACCCCTCCCACCTCCTGGAAAGGCCCCTGGCTCCTGCCCACCAGGACCAATGAAGCCCCTTCCCTCCACCTTTCAGGTCTCCCCTTAATCCCTTTGCTCTCCTTGGGGGTGGGGGAGAAAACACTTTCCCTCCACCTCCTGCACTCTTAGTTTCCACCACTGTGATGAAAGAAGGTTACTAAGGAAAGAGCAGGGAGGGTCAGTCATGCACTAGACCAGGGCTTCTGACACCCGCCTGCACGTGGGCACTGCCCAGGGAGTTGGAAGGGGGGAGGGAGAGGAGGAGGAGATCAGAATGGCTGTGGGGCTTTGGGGGCTTAGAGAGTTTGGAGCCTGAGGGATTCAGCTTTGGAAGTGGCTTCCCAGACGCCCAGGAGGCAGAGATCTGCATTATTCCCGCACATCTGGTCTCTGGTGACTTTGCCTGAGACCCTGGTGCAGGCCAGGAGGGTGTGTGGGGGTGGGGTGTGGGGTGGGGGTGTGTGGTGGAGGGAGCTGTAGAGGCCTGGAGTCTCCTCAGGAGCTGGGGGAGGCCTTGCTCTGTGGAGGGAGCAGGGGCAGTGATCCGGGGGCTGCTGGGGTTGGGCCCCTCCCAGCTGCTCGGAACCGCTTCCTGGGACTTTGGGATCCTAAATCTTAGGCTCATGTAGCTTTGTCCATTTTTTTCTCCCCTGCACAGACATGTGGACCCAGGGTCCAGGTATTTGCTTTCCCTTCCCCACCTTTTTTTTTTTTTTTTGCATTTCTCTAAGAAAGTAAGGTAGCAGGTGGGGCAGGAAATGCTGGGAAAACTTGAGAGGTGGTGGAGGGCTGGTCGTGGGCGGGTCTTGCCTTCGCTGGCTCTGCCGCCAACAGTTCTTGAGAGACTGCACACAGTGAAGGTCAGAGTCTGAGTCTCTCCTCTGGCTGCCGCACTGCCACAGGTCCGGGTGGGTTTCACTAGGCTTCTGCGGGTCCCCAGCGCTGCAGGTTGCTGGCGCCAGGATGGGGCTGTGGCCAGTTCTGCTTCTGGCTGCCCTTGTCCCCTCCGTAGCCCTGGGCGCAGGTGAGTGGGCTTCATTGGTCCTGGTGGGCAGGAGTCTGGGCCTTTTTGGGGTCTGGGAGGGGTCTTCTGGGTGTCTTGGGGACCCTCTCAGGAGGGAGTGGCCTTTGGGGGAGTTCTTGAAGGTGGGGCTGGACTTGGCTTGTTGTACACCCTCCTGATACATTAATATATTTATTTTTGATGTATTGATTTTATTTAAGCAGTAAAGTTGTGGCCTGCTCTCTGGCCCCGCCGTGCCTCCCCCATCCCTCCCCCCCACCCGCCTTAACAGTGTCAGTTCTTTTCTGTTTTCTGGTCCTGCGTGTCTGTCCCTCCCCTAGCCCATCGCTCTTCTCCCTCCCCCTTTTCTGGTCTCACTCACCTGCTGCCCCCCTCCTTGTTGACCCTCTCTCTGCAGCCCCTCTCCCCTCCTGCACCCCACTTCTGCCCTCCCCCTGCTACTCTCCCCCTTCCTGGGACCCTCCCCTTCCACCCCCCTCCCCTTCCACTCCCTTCCCTGTCGCCTTCCCCATCCCTGCTGCCCACTCCCTTCTGCCCCCTTCCCTGCTACCCCCATCCCTGCTGCCCCCTTCCCTGCCAGACCTGACTCTTTGCTGCACCCCTCCCTACTGACCCCCTTCCCTGCTGTCCCTCCTCTGTGTCCTAGGGTGGCCTTCTGCCTCCCCCTCACTATTTCCTCCTCCCTCCTGCACCATTGCCTGCAAGGAACCTTCACCTGTGGATCCTGCCTCCCCACAGTTTAGGAAGCCCTGCTTTCCCAAGGTGCCTTTGGCCTGAGGTATCTCCCTCCATGCTGGTCTGCCCCCCCCCCCTTATCCCCGGGGAGCTCAGGAATTCCTTGTCATTGCCTTGACTCAGGCACAGCCCCTGTCCTCCAGCCTGTCCTCCCACCTCAGGCCAGTGCAGCTCCTGCTCCTGGGCCCTCACCATGGGCCCGTCCCCAACTCCTGTCCTCACCCGGAGACCCTCCTCTCTGATCAGCACCCTACCCAGTCTCCTCACCCCACTCCTGCTCCTGCAACCCAGACCTTGTTTATCTCTGCTCCCCAGTCCTGTCCTCAGCACCAGTCTCCCGGCTGCCTCTTTGTCTTCCAGCCTCCCGCCCTCCCAGACCTGAGAGCTGCTCTTGATGGGACTCCTCTTAGGCCTTCACCCCCTTGGCTTCCTTGACCCCAGTGGGCTCTCACTCCTCACACCACAGATCCGCCACCCTGTGGCAGCCGCCCCTGCCCCCTCCCCAACCTGCTGCCTGATCACACAGCCCCCCCACAGTGGAGGGGGCCTCATCACCACCTGCATCACCCCCACACTGCAGCTCTCCACTCCTGTGCCCTGGACACCAGCTGGGCATTGAAGTTCTGCTCCCTGGGCCTCCCCAGTCTAAACTCTCCCTGGGCCTGAGTCCCTGCACCTGCCTCTCCCCTGGTCTAGGGCAGGTTCCTAGAACTTACCACAGGGTCTCCCCATTGGGGCCCAGGCCATACCTTCACCTCCCCAGGGGCCCTGCCCACCCTAACTCCCTGTGGTTATAACCCAGCCCTCCCCCTACCCCTCAGGACCCGGCTCCACTGGCCCCAACCTGACCTTGAGGAAACGCAGCTCCCCAGCCTCTTGTCGCCCTCCCCGCTTCACACCACAGCTGCTCTGACCTCTGACCCCTGCTCTGGACCCTCACATCCCCTCGCTGCTCTCTGACAAGACCCCCCAGTCCTCCTAGGGACCCGGTGCCCCCTCTCTTGACCTCTGACCCCAATTTCCCCTCTCCATCCCTTTTCCACCTTCACCCCTCTCCTTCCTTCCTTTTCTTAGATTTATTTTCTTACATAGTTGTTGACTTTTGTACAGAATTTGATTTCCCCTCTCAGGTGCAGTCCCCTTGGTCCATCGCCCCGTCCCTGTGCTCTCCCTCCCCAGGCTGCCCCTCCCTGCCCCTCCCTGGACCCTCTCCTTCCTTCTCCTTGCCTGGTGTCCTGTGCTGCGAATCCTCCTCCTGTCCCTACGCACACAGCCCTGTCTGCAGCCCCCAGACGCGCAGCCTCGGGTGACTCTGATGCTCAGGTAGCTCCTACCTGCCTCACTGAGGATTTCTCCCCCAGGACCCCACAGGCTTCAGTATGAGCTCACAGGGACCCAGAATACCTCTCGGCACTCGCAATTTGTTGCCAAGGAATATCTGTACCATCGGCTAATCCCGTGTGACAACAGTGAGAACAGCAGGGTAGAGACCCCAGGCCTGCTGGCACGAGTCGTCCTGGGGGCTGAGCCAGGGGACACAGTGACCAGTGACTTTGCAGAGGACAGGAGGGACCTCTGGAGGAAGTTGGCGGATATCAGGAAAAAGCAGAGGCAGAATGGAGGTGAGAGGGCCAAGCGTGGGGGGCCTTTCCCAGGAAAGTTAGGGCAGCTGGTGGGGCCTATCTCTTTCTACTGGACTTCCCAGGGTGGTGTGAGAATGGGGGTGTGTGGATTTCAGGACAGAGGTGACGTCTATTCGGCCAGCACAGGGAGAGGAGGAGGAGAGTGGGGGCGGGATGGTGTGATTTTCTCTCTTGGGGGGTGCAGAGGGGCACAGGGACTGGGGGAGTCACCAGTGGGTGTGTGTTGTCTTAGGCTCCCATTCCCTCCAGGAGGTTCGGGGCTGTGAGATCCAGGAGGACACCACCATCAGGGCCTTCAGGCAATTTTTCTATAATGGGGAGCCCTTCCTCTTCTATAACGAGATGACCCATGAGTGGGAAGCACCCCAGTCCTCGGTTCTTCCCTTGGCTATGGAAGTCAAGAAATCCTGGGACAGAGATGGGAATGGAAACAAAATATCCTGGGCCCATGTGCGTGGTGACCTTTGTGGAAAAATGAAGAGAAGTCAGAAAAATAAAACAGGTGAGACCCTAGGTACCCCCTTGACCCCCAGCCCATCTCAGCTCTGTGCAAGGGGACCCTCCAGTACTATGGGCTGCCTGGATGATCCTAGGGGTGTGGTGTCATGAGGTGCCTGTGCTGGTATGTCCCTGAATGAAGACATAAGGGCGTCCCGCTATAGAGCACTGAGCAGGAGTGCAGGGATCAGAAAGGAGGGCACACCCTCAGGCTGGACGTCAGCGTCATGCTTGTCAGTCCCTCTGGGTCCCCCCACCTCCCTCATACAGGAGCCCACCCTTCACCTTCCCCTCCTCAGCATCAGCATGTGGGTCCTGGGCCATCCTCCCACCAGCCTGAGGAGCTGGGCCCCAGGGTGCAGAACCACCTGGGGTAGGCCCGGGGTCAGTGATCGAGGTGGGGAGGAGCAGCCCCAGTCTCTCTGTCTCCCTTATTGGGGAGCAGGGCTTGGCCTGTGCCTCCCTGACTCTGTGCTTCTTCCCGGTACCCCCAGCCGTGAATGGGACCTGCAGCCGGGTCTCGGAGAGCGTGACCTACATGACGTGCTCGGCACCCGGGTTCTCTCCCTGGAATATCTCACTGGTCCAGCTGCAGGACGATGTGCCCCTGAGCCTGGATGCCCAGCTGCCTGGGGGTGTCCTATCTTATGAGAAAGGGACGTATTGTGCCAGGGTGGCCTCACGGGTTCCCCAAGGAGAGGAGCAGAGGGTCACCTACTCCGTGGAACACAGCAGGAATCATACTGTGACCTGTGGTGAGCCTGGGGTGATCCTTCAGGAACCTAGTCCTGTAGGGTCAGGGATCAGGATGGGGGCGGAGAACAGCCCTGTGGCTCTGAGTGCCCAGGTTAAAATAAGACCTTTTCTAGGAAAGGAGAAGGTGCATCATCGCCCATGGCCAGCTGTCGCTGCTGCTGTCACTGTCCTTGTTGCTGCTGCCCTTCTTTATAACTTTTAGCTCAGGAAGACAACAGCTAGGGAGCATCCAGGTGAGTGGCCAGGGAGGGGCTCTTCTGCCTGTGACCAGAGTCTCTTGTCTCCTGCTCTGCAGCTAGGAGAGGGATGACTGGCCTTGTAACAGGAGCTGGAAGTGGGGTCTTTGTGAGAGGTTGGGGGCCACATCTGTGGCCTTAGCCCTGCCCAGAACCAGGGCCCTGAGTGTGCAGCTGGGGCCTCTTTCCTAGAGGAGGGGGAGGCAGAGGCCGTGTCCTCTGAACAGTCTCCTCAGGCTTGTCCCTGCTCTCAGGCTCCCCAGGGCTTGTGGGAGGGGGTGTGGGAACCATGGGCATGTTGGGGGTGGCCTGGGTGATCCTGGACTGGGGGAACAAGCAGTAAGAACACCTCTGACCTACTGGGGGTTATACACTGGGGAGAAATTGGGAGGAGAGGTGACTCCTTCAGTCCCTTCCTGTCTGTGCCCACCCCCCATCCCACAGCAAGGGCTCAGTTTGGCAGGTCTGGAGGTCTCCTCATCTGCCTGACACCCCTTCACCTTGGGTCAGAATGTTGCTTTTTTTTTTTTTTTTAAAGATTCATGTATTTATGCATACAAGAACTGGAGTGTAAGCCAGAGGTGTGGGGAGGTGAACGGATTCACCAGAGGGAGTGGGTGCTCACAGACAGATCTGTTGAGAAACACTGCTGAAGGGAGCAGCGGGCAAGTTGGGAGAGGTCTACTACGCCATGTGGGTTGCTCTCCTGCCGGCCAGGGATGGAATTTGTGCTACAGTGGTTGGCACTAGCTTGATAGTGCTGTCTTTAACCCCTGTGCCGCCAGGGAGGCCCAGATTGTTTCTTCTTTTGTCATTGAAACTTGGATGGGAAAAGCATGTGAAAGTCTTGAGCTAATTTCCAATTTTCCTGCTTTGAACTTTGAAGTCCAAAGCAGATGCTTATGACTGCAGTTGGTTGACCTTACGGGATTTCCTCCAATGCCAGGTCTTGCAATGCATATAAAGTGAATAGAAGTTCTCTCAGGAGCCTCAGGCTGGCGGTCTCATGGGATCTCTCACTGCACTGAGTAGCAGACCCCCAAAGACAGTGAGCCAGTGCCTGGACAGGAGGGAGGGCCTGGGAGCTCAGCCAAGCAGCAGCATGGGGTGGAGCTCAATTCCAGGCACTAGGAATCTAAGGGCCTGGGGGTTGCGAGGGCCCCGGCAGGGCTGGCCTGAGTGAGCATGGGGTGCTCCAGGGCCCATCAGGCACAGAGCATGTCACCTGAGATCCTGATGGCCATGAAGTTAGGAGCTGCTGGTCAGGGCTGGGGCAGGAGCAGGCTGAGCTGCAAGGGAGTGGTGTGGGGGGTGAGGAGGGAGCAGGCAGTGGCCCTGGGGTGCAGGTGGCTGTGAGGAGAGGAGGCTGGCAGCTGAGAAGAGAAGGCCCTGTGTGTGAGCACCCCCAGGCCTGGAGGCCAGGGCCTGAACTCTCTCTCAAGGACCCTGGCACTGAGTGGGGGAAGGCCAGGGCTGGAGAGGGGGACATTGGGTTTCTGCTCCTGGATCTTGTCCTTCAGTCTGGCTCTTTCAAGCTCTCACCAGGTGGTGGTGCTGGGGGCAGGGACAGGTGATAATGTGGTGGAATGGAGGGTGGGAGAGACCAGCAAGTTGTGAAGTGGGGTGAGAGGGAGAAAAAGTGGGGGTTATCTTCCCTCAGAGACAGGCAGAATGTGATTCCAGAGCAATTTAGGGGGAATTCCTGAGGGAACAGAAAGCAGTAATCTGCAACCAACTGAGCATTTACTGGTGTTTCTTTCTCCAGGGCCGGATATTGTGCAAACTCAAACCAAAACCAGGTGGCGCCAACGGACCTTCACTGCAAGGGCCCACAGGGCTCTCAGCCTCTGTTGTCAGCGCCTGAGTCCAGAGACTCAACTGGGGGTGCTTAGCATCTGCACATTGGGCCTGGACTCACTGCCTGCGCCCCTCTACCAGCAGTCTCGCTCTTGGTGCTTCAGTGTTTTCATCTATGTATGTATGTGTATTTGTGTGCATACCCATATGCTTGAATTATTTGTGCAATATTACAGAGTTTTATAACTAAACATACATATCTGGTGTGTGTATTATTTCATGTGCTGTGAAGTGATAGTATGAGGTTGTGGGGACATGGAGAGGTACATACAGGGCTTAAAAATCCCCAGCTCCCGCTCCCCAGCTCCCAGTACTGACAGAATCACTGACAGGCTTCAGCACAAAGGAGAAGCTGGAGAGGGTGGAATGGGGCATCTGGGGCCAGTGCTCACGGGCTGAGCCTGGGGGATTCTGCCCTGATGGTGGGAGCTCACGTGATGGAGCAGAGCTGATCTCGGGAGGAGACAGGGACACTGCATTGGGGTGACCTTGTGACAGGGTAATCCCCTGGGTCTGTGCCCGTCAGGAAGGAGGGTCGGGTTGAGCAGGGAGGAGAAGCTAGAGAAGACCAGGGGAAGGCAGGAAGGGGAGCATGAGGGGGGTTTGGGCGAGGCACAGGGGCAGAGACACGTGAAGAAGCTGCACTTACTTCTTGGCCTTGGCTTGTACCAGGGATGGGGGACATGGAAGGAAACACTTGAGACAGAAACGTGGGTGAGAGGCCATGGGGAGGCTGACGAGGGCAGCCTTTATACTAATGTGGGTTTTGGTTTTCGGCCTTTCCTTGCAGTCTTGCCTGGCCGCTTCTGGCCTTTCCTATTATTCACACCAGAAGGGATCTCGGATGTGGCAGGGTTTTGGGCTTCGGCAGTCCTGCTTTGGGCCACGAGGGCATGGGTAATTTGGGGTGTTTGATTGGGAAAGCATTCTTCCTCTTCTCTCTATTACATACTAACTGTGTTAAAGTTCCTCTGCATGGCAGGTCTCATGTACTGATCATGTTTTGTGTTGATAAGGTGGAAGGCAGAATGCATTTAGCAGGCAGGTTTGGAGGTTCTTGGGGTGCCCCTTCTCCTGCCCTGTACCAACCTCACCGTGGAGAACAGGGGCCTGTCTGCTTCTGGGATGAAGTGGCTTCTGGGCGTGTGAGGACTGAGTTGAGGCGAGAAGAAGTGAACACAGATGTGGATGAGCACGCGCAGCCCCAGCATCTCCCCCCTAGTCCTGTGAGGTTTCTGCAAGACAGATGGGGAGGCGAGGGGTTTCCTACCTGAGCCTCAGTGGTTCCTCACTTCAGGGGACACACAGACAGTTGGCGCTCTTCTTGGTCAGGAATCACTGATCCTACCAGGTTAAACACTGATGATGAGAGCACTGGGGTTGGGGGGCACCACCCACAAGGCTAACATTTGAGGGGCCCAGTGGGCAACAAAACCTGCCTGGAAGGAAGAGGAGGATTTGGTCCTGTTCCCCTTATTAGGTTCACAGCAAAGATATTGGAAAAGAGAATCATTGATACATCTATTCAGAGTTGTGTATGTCAACATATTTCATGCTGTTACTCAGGGTTGATGTCATTCACACCATTGTGCATTCTAGGTTTTTTTTTTAGATTTATTTATTTATGCATACAAGAATAGGGGTACAGGCCAGAAGTGCGGGGGCTGAGAGGATTCACCAAAGACAGAGTGGGGAACAGAACAGGAAATCCACTGAAATCCACTGCTAATGTGAGCAGAGGGCGAGTCAGGAGAGGTCTGCTGTGCCATGTGGGTACCTCCCTGGCTGGGGATCAAACTCGAGCTGCAGTAGCTGCCGATAGCTTCATAAGTTGCGTCTTAACCCCTTGCACCACCAGGGAGGCCCCATCTTCAGTTTTCTATACCCTACATGTTTCTCTCTCCTAAGAAATGCTAAGCTCTTACTAATATACTTTAAGTTAATTAATGTTAATTAAGTAATTAATGGGGTTAATAAAGTGAAAAATTTTTATTGTGGTAAAAAAAATACATGAGATAAAATTGCCATAGTAGCCATTTCAACAGTGAGGTACAGCAATTTTGTACTTTATTTTTATTTTTTTATATCCAAAAGGGCCAGTTTCTTATATAAGGAAATTTGGAGGGGCCTCCCTGGTTGTGCAGGGGTTTATTCTCAGCGCTATCAATTCACCAGCCACTCAGCCAGCTATTGCAACATGAGCTCAATCCCCAAGCCAGGGAGTGACACACATGGCGCAGCAGACCTCTCCTGTCTTGCCCACTGTTCGCCTCAGCAGTGTGTTTCAAGGCATCTGCCTGTTCTGCTCCCCACTCTGTCTCTGGTGAATCCTCTCACCACTGCACTTCTGATTTACACCCCAGTTCTTGTATGCATAAATAAGTAAGATTAAATTTCCTTAAAAAAACAAAAGAAAAGTTGAAGGAGAAGACACACAGACAGGAGTGCTCAGGAGAGCTGCCCCTGAATGGGACAGGTTTGTGAAAAGAAAGAACTGCAGAGTCACAGGTGAGCAGTGTTGGGAGGAGAGCGGCCTCTGACCATTTTTATTTTTTTTATTTTTTTAAAGATTTATTTATTTATTTATACATGCACTGGGTACAGTCAGAAGCGTGGGACCGTGAGAGAATTCACCAGAGCCAGAGCGGGGAGCAGAGCAGGCAGAGAGACCCAAGTACACTGCTGAGGGGAGCAGCGGGCTGCAGGAGAGGTCTGCGCGCCATGTGGGACCCTCCTCCAGTGGCTGGGGAACGAACCGGCGCTGCAGAGGCTGCGGGCAGCTTCGCTGCCCAGGGCTCAACCGCTGCGCCACCAGGGAGGCACCTGACCATTTTTTATTATCCCTGTTTTTAATATGTGTTGCAGAGTGAGCACCTCTGTCCACTTTTTATTGGGTTGTCTATTGTTCTGGTCTATAAACTGTGTATTTTGGCTGTTAGCGCTTTTCTTATATGCGGTTTGCAAATTTCTTCTCCATTCAGTCAGCTGTCTTTCTATTTTATATTATTTTATTATATTTTTAAGGTTTGTTTTTATTTATGTATGCATACAAAAACTGGGGTGTAGGCCAGATGTGTGGGGAGTGAGATAACTCATGATACACAGAACAGGCGGATCTACTGAGATACACTCCTGACAGGAGCAGCGGGAGAGACAGGAGAGGTCTCCCACGCCATGTGGGCCACCTCTCTTGCAGCTCCCTGGCAGTGGCTCAAACACATGCCCCAGGGGCAGGAGACAGCTTGATAGCACTGAGACTTTTTAGCCCCTGCTCCACCATGGAGGCCCTGTCTTCATTTTTTAAAAAGATTTATTTATTTATGTGTACAAGAACTGGGGTACAGGCCAGAAGTGTGGTTGGGGGTGTGTGTGTGTGAAAGGACTCACCAGAAACACAGTGGGGAACAGAACGGGCAGACTGACTGAAACACACTGCTCAGGGGAGCATCTGGCAAGACAGGAGAGGTCTGCTGCGCCATGTGGGTTGCTCCCTGGCTGGCTGGGGATCGAACTTGTGCTGCAGAGGCTGGGATAGCTTCACAGTGCTGTGCTAACCCTTGCACCACCAGGGAGGCCCCACCTGTCTTTTCATTTTAATAGTTCTTTCTCCGTGCAGGAGCTTTCTGGTTTGACCTAGTGCCATTGTTTATATTACCTTTTGTTCCTCTTGCTTTTGGGGATGCATCAGTACCTATATTTTCTAACTACCATCCTCTTTCCTGCTTCTGTAACTTTGCTTATGGCACACTTCACAGGGTGGAATCATGCAGTGCTGGCCTCTCTGTCCCTGTCTTACTTTCCTGAGCATAATGTGCTCTTTCACCCATGTGATAGCAAATGACAAGATTTCCTTTTTATTTTATTTTATTTATTTTTTTTTTTTTAGAGAAAAGCACTCGTAGCATTTAATGAACCTTCCTCCAAGTGGCTTCAAGCTACCAAGACACAGGCCCCTCCCACACCCTTAATCTTCTCCTCAGCTCTTCTACTGAAGAATTTGGCCTTGACGATCACAGGCTGCTTTGGAAGCTTTCCCTTCCCCAGAACTTTGTAGTAGCCCGCTCGCACCACATCAATGATGGGAGCAGCTCCAGTCTTATTTTTGGCAGCATTTACCCGAGTCTGCTCAGGGACCAAGGTCCACAGTTTATCAAGGTTGACAGTTGGGCAGAAGCTCTGATTCCTCTTTAAGTGGTAATGCCTCATACCAACTTTCCCAAAGTAACCTGGGTGATATTTGTCAAAGTTGATCCTGTGATGATGCAGGCCACCAGCATTACCTCGGCCTCCAGGGTGCTTCCGGTGCTTTCCGATGCGGCCGTGGCCGTGGCTCACGTGGCCCCGAAGTTTCCGGGTCTTCCTCAGTCTGGATGGCATGTTGGCGGCGCAGACGAAAGAGAAGATTTCCTTTTTAAAGCTGAGTAGAACCCCATCACATGCATAGAGAATATTTTAATGATGCAGGTATCTCTCTGTAAACAGAGAGCTTGTGGCTTCTGTACCTTTGCTTTTAGAAAATTGCTGCAGTGCACGCAGTGGGGTGTCTGTCTCTATTTTTATACCCTCCCTCACTTTGGTGGAAATAATACTTCAGTAGTTTTTTAGGAGCAAATGTTTCAGGTCCATCTCCCACATTTCCTAGGGTGTAATTCACGTGCTTGTATCAGTCAAGTGCTTGATGGATAGTTTGACTGAGTGAAAACTGTAAGCCAGGAATCTTCCCTTTGAAGAAAGGCATTGCTTTCTGTCTTCTCTACCTTTAGGGAGGGGGGGAAAGGGAGAGGAGGAGAGAGAGAAAGGGGTGGGAGGGAGAGAAAGCATTTTCAGTGTTGAAAGTCTCATTTCAAGGGCGCTGACAGTTTTTTGGTGTAGAGGATCACAGTAGCCATTCAGTCATGTATTTGTAGTTGTGCTGTGATAATTGGCATTTGGAGGAGGCGCAGAACTTCAGTGTAGGGAAAAGAACTGAAATCCTTAAATACAGAGGAGGAAACATCAGCACAACCCTCCATGACGTACATCTCAGAAATTTGTTTGAGGACTTATCCCAGAGGCAAAGAAAATAAAGGAAAAGCTACACAGCTGGCCCGACATCAAAACAAAAACCTTCTGTACAGCACAAGAGACAAGAACCAAACGCAGAGATATTCCACAGATTCGGAGAAACGCCATACAACTGATAAGGAC